CGTAATCATCGAATCAAGAAAACATATGAAACATTCAGACCATCAATATGGATTACGATTCATACATGGACATTCATTCTATTAATCACATCTATTATTATTTGGCCGGAAAATGATTTCATTTTGGATTACAAATTCTATGAACAAATGCTAAATGTTCAAAGATTTGATTTGATAATGATGGAAGTTATTGTTTTAAGTCTGATTGAAGAATGGTTATGGTTATTTTTTTCAAAGGAAGCAATAACATATAGTTGTCGTTATCTAGATTTCTTGGCCTTTGATCTTTCCGACGATAAAACAAAAATTGATTTAAAAATGAAACGATATCTAATTCGATATCATTCAATCACAAAATTCATCACTACATTCATCTATTTCACGGTTATTTTATGGTCGATGTTTCTATGCATAATGTTTCTCTATTCTACTTTTTTCTCATACTTGGATGACAATATTTATTTCATTCAATTTATCACTAGTATTCCAAGTTCGATTCTAATTTTTATTAATATCATATACATGTCGGGTCAATTTTTCATTTCTGGTACATTTTTTTTATTTTTTCTCATATTATTTCGTGAAAAAATCAAACAATTAAAAAATTTGTCATCAACATTACTACAATATCACGCCAATGAATCACAATATTTTGTTAAAAAAATATTCTGGAATCAATTTCATTTTGAATACATTATACTTTATAGAAAAATTTCACGTTTAAATGAATCAGCAAAAGTTATTCTCTTAGCCATGGAAATGATAGCTAAATCAGCAATAATGATGTCCTGTGTGTTTTATAGTCAACAAATCAAAATGGTCGAAGCGAATACATTTCTCGTAACCATTTTCATTATTGTTTTTCTATATGTCAACATTATGTATTTACGTATTGCTATTCTGCCTACATATAATGAACAATGTCTCCAATCCATATTACGATGGCTGATACGATCACAATGGCGTGAAAGATTTTCAGATGTACAACCGAAACAATCTACATTTCATGATCATATTGTTCAACGGATTCATTGGCGACAAACATTGAAATCAAATTTATTCATTCAAGCAATGACCAATAATCGACTTGGTTTCACTTGTGGACATATGTTCCATATTAATAAATATAAATTTACAGAATTGATATTGTTGAATATACCGTTTATTCTGATGTTATATAAACAGGTTTCACGTTGATTGAAAATGTATTTTACTTGTGGATAAATTCTAGTTGAATTTAACTAGAATAGAACATAATAAAACATTTTGTAATGAATACTCCTGAGTATAATACTGTGGGAGCGCTAATTGTGCCTATTTTAACTATACTTTATTGACAAAATGTTCCATAAATAATTGTATTTGTAATCATTTCAAATGACACTTATTAAAATTTAATCATCTTATAGACCAAATTTTGTCTTAACGCAGCTATTTGTCTCGAATCATGGGAAATTCGACGAATACCTGTCCCGTTTTGGCCTGAATAATAATTCTGATTGTTCATTTTGCTACTCATTAATGCAGTACTCGTTGAATTTGTTGATTGATTGCCTAGCGTTCCGTTTGGCGAGATTTCGATTTATAATTGATGCTAATTTGGATCCTGTTGATGATGATGTATCTGATTTGCTTCAAAGTAGAGCATTGCCTTTATTTTTGTTCTATATTAATTGTATTGATTCCAAATTAATTGCTTATTAATTGTTTTTATTTTTCCTTTGTACTTTGTTTTGTAATGGGTCATGTTAACACGCTGTTCTTTCCCATTTTGAGAAGTTAAACATATTTTTATTTAAAAATTTTTATAAATACCGAATCCCAAAATTATTATCCAAAATATTCAAGTTCTTCCATACCACCCATCCAAAATGACATTGATAACCATGGAAACAAACTAAAAAAAAAAAATTTCAAAAATCAAACAAAAATTTCCTAATGATCAATGATTTTGGAAATGTTTTAGATCGATATCGTAGACATTGTGGGTTGAAGCAATAAAAAAAAAAATTCTCTTAAAAATCGAATGAAAAAAAAATAAAATCGATGATGATAAAATATAAATTTATTCAATACATATTGGTTTGGTAGTCCAATTATTTATCAGTTTTTTTTTCGATTCGATTTTAAATGTTTCGATTAGAGAATAAAATTCCATAGAATTCTGTCAATAAAATTAAAAGTAAAAGTTTAAGATAAATTGCAATTTTGTTTTTATTTTTCCAAAATATTACCTATTGTATCAAATTATAGAATAATAACTGAAATAATATGACAAATCAACTCATTTCATAATTCAGCATTTCAGTTTCATACAGGTTTTTCTCATTTACGATCACGATCAAATTTTGTTTGTTCAAATTTAAATCAAATTGAACTATTCCATCTACAATAATCATGTCATCCATTTTAAACGTTATCAGAAGAAATTTGAGCTTTTCATTTATGCGACGAAATGATGATGTATCAATTATGGAAATGTTATCAGATGATTTTATTCTGTCAAAATTCTATAGTTTTCGAATGAATTTTTCATTGGCTGAATATCGTTATCATCGAATCAAGAAAACATATGAAACATTCAGACCATCAATATGGATTACGATTCATACATGGACACTCATTCTACTAATCACATCTATTGTTATTTGGCCGGAAAATGATTTCATTGTGGATAGCAAATTCTTTGAACAAATATTAAATGTTCAAAAATTTGATTTGATAATAGTGGAACTTATTGTTTTAAGTCTGATTGAAGAATGGTTATGGTTATTTTTTTTAAAAGAAGCAACAACATATAGCTGTAGTTTTCTAGATTTCTTGGCACATGAACTTCCCGTTTATGAAACAAGAATTGATTTAAAAATGAAACGATATCTAATTCGATATCATTCATTCACGAAATTCATCACTACATTCATTTATTCAACGGTTATTTTATGGTCGATGTTTCTATGCATATTGCTTCTCTATTTTACTTTTTCCTCATACATGGATGACAATATTTATTTCATTCAATTTATCACTAGTATTCCAATTTCGATTCTAATTGGTACTAATATCATATACATGTCTGGTCAATTTTTTATTTCTGGAACATTTTTTTTCTTCTTTCTCATATTATTTCGAGAAAAAATTAAACAATTAAAAAATTTGTCCACAACATTACTACAATATCACGCCAGTGAGTCACAATATTTTGTTAAAAAAATATTCTGGAGTCGATTTCATTGTGAATATATTATTCTTTATGGGAAAATTTCGCGTATAAATGAATCGGTAAGCGTTATTCTTTTAGCTACGGAAACGGTAGCTAAATCAGCAATAATGACTTCATGTGTATTTTATAGTCAACAAATCAAAATGGTAGAATCGAATACATTTCTAGTGGCCATTTTAATTATTGTTTTTCTATATGTCAACATTATGTATATGTGTATTGCCATTCTGCCAAAATATAATGAACAATGTCTCCAATCCATATTACGATGGCTGATACGATTACAATGGCGTCATAAATTTTCAAATGTACAATCGAAACAATCTACATTTTATGATCGTATTGTTCAACGGATTCGATGGCGACAAACATTGAAATCAAATTTATTCATCCAGGCAACGGTCAATAATCGACTTGGTTTCACTTGTGGACATATGTTTCATATAAATAAATTTAAATTTACCGAATTGATAATGTTGAATATACCGTATATTCTGATGTTATATAAACATGTTACACGTTGATTGAAAATCGATTCAACTTGTGGATAAATTCTAGTTGAATTTAACTAGAATAAAACATAATAAAACAATTCCAAATTAATTGCTTATTAATTGTTTTTATTTTTCCTTTGTACTTTGTTTTGTAATATTTCTTAGTACCCTTGTATTTATAATGGAACAAGGGTTACTTGTTTTTATTAAAAATAAATAAATAAATAATAATCAAAAATATTCAAGTTCTTCCATACACCCATCCAAAATGACATTGATAACCATGGAAACAAACTAAAAAAAAAAATTTTCAAAAATCAAACAAAAATTTCCTAATGATCAATGATTTTGGAAATGTTTTAGATCGATATCGTAGACATTGTGGGTTGAAGCAATAAAAAAAAAATTTTTCTTAAAAATCGAATGAAAAAAAAGAAATAAAATCGATGATGATAAAATATAAATTTATTCAATACATATTGGTTTGGTAGTCCAATTATTTATCAGTTTTTTTCGATTCGATTTTGAATGTTTCGATTAGAGAATAAAATTGCGTAGAATTCTGTCAATAAAATCACGAAAAATAAATTGTACGATTCCATCTACAATAATCATGACATCCATTTTAAACATTATCATGAGAAATCTGAACTTTTCATTTATACGACGAAATTATAATGTATCAATCATAGAAATGTTATCAGATGATTTTATTCTGTTAAAATTCTATAGTTTTCGAATGCATTTTTTATTGGCTGATTATCGTGATCATCGAATCAAGAAAACATATGAAACATTCAGACCATCAATATGGATTACGATTCATACATGGACATTCATTCTATTAATCACATCTGTTATTATTTGGCCGGAAAATGATTTCATTGTGGATTACAAATTCTTTGAACAAATGCTAAATGTTCAAAGATTTGATTTGATAATCGTTGAAATTATTGTTTTAAGTCTGATTGAAGAATGGTTATGGTTATTTTTTTTTAAAGGAAGCAATAACATATAGTTGTCGTTATCTAGATTTCTTGGCCTTTGATCTTTCCGACGATAAAACAAAAATTGATTTAAAAATGAAACGATATCTAATTCGATATCATTCAATCACGAAATTCATCACTACATTCATCTATTTCACGGTTATTTTATGGTCGATGTTTCTATGCATAATGTTTCTCTATTCTACTTTTTTCTCATACATGGATGACAATATTTATTTCATTCAATTTATCACTAGTATTCCAATTTCGATTCTAATTTGTACTAATATCATATACATGTCTGGTCAATTTTTCATTTCTGGTACATTTTTTTTATTTTTTCTCATATTATTTCGTGAAAAAATTAAGCGATTACGAAATCTGTCATCATCATTATTACAATATCACGCCAATGTATCACAATATATTGTTAAAAGAATATTCTGGAATCAATTTCATTTTGAATACATTATACTTTATGGAAAAATTTCACGCTTAAATGAATCGGCAAAAGTTATTCTCTTAGCCATGGAAATGATAGCTAAATCAGCAATAATGATTTCATGTGTATTTTATAGTCAACAAATCAAAATGGTCGAAGCGAATACATTTCTGGTAACCATTTTCATTATTGTTTTTCTATATGTCAACATCATGTATTTACGTATTGCCATTCTGCCTACATATAATGAACAATGTCTCAGATCCATATTACGATGGCTGATACGATCACAATGGCGGCATAAATTTTCAGATGTACAACAGAACAAACAATCGACATTTTATGCTCGTATTGTTCAACGGATTCGATGGCGACAAACATTGAAATCAAATTTATTCATCCAGGCAACGGTCAATAATCGACTTGGTTTCACTTGTGGACATATGTTTCATATAAATAAATTTAAATTTACCGAATTGATAATGTTGAATATACCGTATATTCTGATGTTATATAAACATGTTACACGTTGATTGAAAATCGATTCTACTTTGTGGTTGAATTCTAGTTGCATTGTCAATATTGATATAGCATAATTTTCAACAACAGTACCATTATCTTTAATTTTAAATATAAAATTTAAATTGAATGTCATTAGAGTTTTATTTGAAAAAAAAAATAAAATAAATTGCTGATTTTAGGCAATAACAATAAAAAAAATCAGTTTTTTCATAGAAATGTCAAAAATCATATGAAATGAAACACCTTTTTATTTACGGTGAATTGGTGTGAATCGAATGCTATTCATTTATAACGTGTCATATAATGACGTCAATACGTTTTAAGGTGAATTTGATAACATTGATGATTTTCATATTCCAGATTTTATTTTCGTTTCAAAAATCCGAATAAAGTGGTTAGTATTGATATGGATTTGAATATATCAAGTAACTCGACATGATAAAAAATGACTCGTCCATTGAACAAAATTTCCAAAAATAATATTGGAATCGAAGATATTCTTCGGGATGGATTTCATTCATGGAAACGTTATGTATTTCGTGTGGATTATTCTATTCAAGATTATCGCCATCGAACAATACCCTTGGAATTATTCGACATTCAAAATGGCTATTCGTATCATATTAAATGCATGGATTTCAACGATATTTTTAACAATACTTGGTATACGTCTTAATAATCGTTTTATTATCAATATCAGTGCAATTGAAAAAATGTTAAATGCACAACGTTTGGATCTAATAGCCTTACAATATGCTATTGTATTTGCATTACTTGAATGGCAATGGATAAGATTATTTTATGGAATGTTCAAATATCGTTCATCATGGAATGAATTCTTTATTAATAATCTACCATATGTAGATAATCAATTACGAAATGATTGTCGAAGTTATCTTATCGATTTCTACGCCGTATCAAATATGTTTAGTAGAATAACTTTTAAAATTTTAAAATTATTAATACTTTTGACTAATTTAGTATTCATCTTTGGTACATTAATTCTTTATCGTGATGGCCATATTGATCTCATACAATCGATTATTTCGATAATTCTGATGGCATTTGTTGTCCTAACTATATGGGAAATGTTTGGTCAAATTTTTATTGCCATGAATTTTCTGCTATTTCTCGTCGAATATATCAAAATCAAGCTACAACAACTATCTTGTTTGAAACAAACTGTAAATGGTTTACAGAAAAACAATCCAACAGTTCATATAATGATGGAATGGAGAAAAAAAATAATATGGAATCGATTCCAAAGTCGTTATGTTAGATATTATGCTGAAACAATCCAACTAAATGGAACTGTTCAAATAGTTTTGTTCTATATGGAAATCATATCAAAAATATGCATCATAATATCGTGTATATTCTATAGCCGTCAAAAACATTTGGGTTGGTCCAACACAGCATTGATTCTGTCATTGATATCAGAATTTTTCTTTGTCACCATTGTTTATTCACGATTGGCAAATATTTTCACATACAATCAATTGATTGCAAAATCAATGATGCAGATGATTGCACGATCACAATGGTTACGTAATAAACATCGTAATCGAAACAATAGATCAATACATTATTGGCCATATTCAATCAAATCTAATCTATTCGTACAGACAATGACCAATAATGGCTTTGGTTTTACATGTGGACGAATTTTTCAAATTACAAAATATCGATATATTGAATTAATTTGTTGGAATATTCCAATCATAATTATATTTTATAAGAAAATTTGTTATCCATAAGAAAAATTTAGTAATTTAGAAATTTTGTTAGAAAAAAATGATAAAATGTACACTAGATGTCACTAGAATTTTATGCACTCAACAGGTGTTTATTATTTTTTGTTATAGAAATTAAATAGAAAAAAAAAACAAAACAAAACATGAATACATCAACTCATCAGTCATACATTCAGACAGGTATTGATTTGAATAAAATTTTTTTCATTGATTTTAATATATTGTTGATTATTCATTGTTATTACAAGTGCTTGGTCCAATCAAACCGGATCAATTAGGATTTACATTATGTCATGAACATCTTTATCATAAAGCTTATACGCGATATTTTGTACCTAAACCATTGGATAATAAATATTCGCATTTGAATTCAACACCAGTTACAATAGAAAATCTTTGGCATACCGTCTATCATCCACATATTCATGAAGATAATCTAGATTTGACTAGTACAGCCGTACAAAATGCTATCGACGATGAATTGAAATTTTTCAAACGTAATGGTGGTAGTTCTATGGTCGAAGTCACTACTTTTGGTACTGATTTAGCAAAGTTGGCCGAATTTTCTCGTAAATCTGGTGTCAATATTATTGGTAGTACTGGTTTCTATGTACATCAAGCGTTTTCAGAATCGATTCGATCCAAATCGATTGAAAACCTATATGAAACAATGAAAAATGAATTGATTTCTGGTGTTAATGGTATCAGACCCGGTGTTATTGGTGAACTTGGATCATGTTGGCCTATTGATTCATTTGAAAAAAATGTTTTGATTGCAGCTGCTCAATTACAAAATGAATTACGAGTGCCCGTTATCATTCATCCTGGTCGTCATTCTGAAGCACCATTTGAAATTATCCGTATATATACTGAAGCTGGTGGAATTGTTTCAAAAACTATCATGTCACATCTTGAACGTTTGTTGAATCATATTAATTTTTGGCTAATCATAGTAAATAATCTAAATGTTTTTTTTAAAATTTCAGGAACATTAGATATCGAACAATTGATTGAATTTGCTCATACAGGTGTTATTTGTGAATTTGATTTATTTGGCACAGAAATATCTTATTATGAGGCAGCAAATCATTTTGATATGCCCAATGATGCTACTCGTATACGATTGATTCAAAAATTAATCAATGAAGGTTATGATGATCATATAACAATATCACATGATATTCATACTAAACATCGTTTAATGAAATGGTCCGGTCATGGTTATTCACATATACTATTGAATGTAATACCAAAAATGATTAGTCGTGGTATTAATGTTGAACAAATTGATCAAATGATGATTAAAACACCATGTCGTTGGTTAACAAAATCGTTATGTAAAATAAAAAATATATATGTCAAGTAAATAAAGTTGCATATGGAAACATTTTATTATTCAAAACACACATAGAGAAAAAATAATAATAATAATAATTGAAGTTGGAAAGCTTCTAATAATTATCTATCTAAATCGAGAGAGAAAAAATGATTAAAAAAATAAACTGCTTTATCCCGCCAAAATGGATTTGCTGTGGTTGTTGTTATATAACCTGCGTGATCATATTTGTTGCAGGACCATCACTATTTTGTTTTACCACGTCTGTCTGTTTGGCAATAATGTATTTAGTTTATACTTCCTCTTATTTGTGTGTGTGGGGAGTTCGGCTACAATATCATTTTTCTTATTTTTTAAAAACATTGTTGATATTTCAATTTGATATAATATTGTTGATCCATGATGATTATCTCAAAATGCAATTAAATCTTAAAATGTAAATGGCCATATTAATTCTGATGAATTTGTTTTATGATCTTGATTGAAACACAATGATGATTAAAACACCATGTCGTTGGTTAACAATCAACATTTGAATATATATATCTGAAAATAAAAAAAAAACATGAAAACATGAAACATTTTATTATTCAAAAACACACATAGAGAAAAATAATAATAATAATAAAAAAGTTGTGTAATTATCTACCTAAATCGAGAGAAAAAAATGGAAATAAAACTATTATATATATATATGTTGTCACTATTTTGTTTGTCTGTCTGTATGTATGTTAGTGTGTGTATCATTTTTATTTTGATATTTCAATTTGATATATAATAAAAAGCAATAAATCTTAAATGTAAATGTATATATATATATCACAAGAATATGAACGAAAAAAAAATTGTTGTAAAATACTACTAATATATACACGTATGAATCATCATTGAAAATTTCTCTGTTTGTTTGTTTGTTTGTTACAGATATATATCAATATATCACATATGATGATAGTGTTTGTGACAAACAGGATTTTTTTTCTCAAATTTGTCTCTCTCTCTCTCTGTTTGTGTGTGTGTGTGTGTGTGTATGTTTCCAAATATTAAAATTTCTATAATTTTGAAACTAATTCAATAAGAAAAAAAACACTAAAATAAATTAAAAATTGAAAAAAAAAAAATGAAAAAAGCCTAAAATGAATGAATGAATGATTGATTGATTGTTCCAATGATCAAATGAAAATGAGAAAAAAAATCAATGATGATAAACAGAAAAATTTGATTGTGAAACAAGATTCAAAAAATGATGATGATCGGAATTTGAGAAAAAAAAATTTATATAACCTAAACATGGAATGTGTATGGAATGTAACATAAAAATGAATGAAAATTGTGAAATATAAAATACGAAAGCCAAAAATGGTAAATATCAAATAATCTAGTAATAATAATAATAATAAAAATCGTTTAAAACAACAATTGATTGATTCATTGCCCATCAAGTGTGGCCAAATCATTGTTTTCGCCATCTCTCTGTTTTTATTTTTCGGTGGTCATTTCGATTTCATCATTATCAATCTGTTTATCGATTATCGATGTTTCAATATTAAATCAATCGATTTTTCCGGTGTCGTAATCATACGTAATTTTATATCAATTTCTTTATCACTTGTTGGACGAATATGGAATCGTTGTACAAGCTATATATATATATATGGATGATAATGATGATGATAATTATTTAATTATTTGGGTACAAATTTTACATACTCGTGATAGAAAAAATTGCATTTGAATTTCGGCAACACGACGGCCAATACAGCTACGTACGCCAAGACCAAATGGTAAACATGCATGGCTATTGGCAACACGATTACGACCATTTTGACGATCACGTAGCCAACGTTCGGGTTGAAATTTTTCTGGCTCATCAAAATATTCATTTTTTCTACCAGTTGTAAATAATGATATGACGACTAATTGCTAATCATTTTTAAATAGAGAGAGAGAGAAAAAAAAAATCAAATATTAACCCATTTGATTGAATGGCCAAAAAAAACCATTAATCAATTGTGTGTGTAACTTACTCCTTTTGGTACATGATAACCACCTAGTATAAGATCATCGGATAGATAACGTGTAAGAAATGGAGCCACGGGGTAAAGTCTGTGAAGATCAAAAAAAAAAAAGAATGAAGAAGTGATGAGAAATGAAATTTTTTTTTGTTTGTTCAAATCAAAGTTAGTGAACAAGAAAAAAAAACAGGTTTTAACATCATCATCATCATCATATGACCCTAAATCAAAAAAAAAGTATTCCCTCGAAAAAAATTGAAAAGAAAAAAACAAAATATTCACCTCAATGATTCTTTGATTATTCCTTTAACATAGGATAAATTTTGTAAATGTTTTACATTAATCGATTCACCACCGGTAACCTGTTCAATTTCATCGCATAAACGTTCCTGTACATTTGGATGTCTTGATAATAGATATAATGCCCATTGTGTTGCATGAGAAGTCTATTTATTTAAATGAATAGAAAAGTGGTAAAGAAAATTTATATTGATTTTTTTTTCTTGTTCCAAAAATTTTTTTTCATAATCATAATTATTGATGATACACAATTGACATACATACCGTATCGGCAGCAGCAATAAATAGATCGACAATTATACGACTGATTTCATCTAATTGCATATGACCATCATTCATCAATTGTTTAATAATACCTTGATTATTCATTGATGATTCATCATCATTATTATTTATTTGTCGTGCATTTTCATTCACATATTGAAATGCTAAATCTAATGCTTTACTGGCTGCATCTTCAAATCTACGCCATACTGGTAAACGAAAATAATGTGCCAATTTTGGTGGTATTAATTGCATATTTGATGATTCAATAAAAATTCTTTGTACACAGTTAACAAATTCATGTATATCAGGTAATGCACTTGATGGTTGTGGTGTTATACAACCAAGACGACGTCCAAAAATCATTGTTCCTAATGCTAGTAATGAATATAGGGAAAAAAACGAAAAAATTTTTATTTTCATCATCATATATACTTCAATTATTGTCGAACAGCTGTCCCGGTATCATGAAACAGTTTCCCAGTAGCTAAAACAAAACAAAACAAAACAAGGGTTTATAAATACAACACTTACATTCAATTGACCAATTGTATAGTTCTTTTTCAAGACCATCAATCAATAGGCTATCCACATGATTTTCTACCATTTTCATTGACCATTTGTCCAGGATATCGGTGACAACTTGATTAAAAACTTCCGTATAATCATTTATGATGTCCGGTTTTAAGAATACTTTATTCAATGCACTACGACGTATACTCCATTCTTCTCCTTCCCTATTAAAAAAATATGAAATAAAATTATTAGGTTTTTTTTTGCAAAAACAAAACAGTCAACAGAAAAAAAACATACATAAAAAATAATCCACGTTTAATTCCTTTATTTTGATTATAAATAATCCATGGTTCTGGTACCATATGTTGTGGATATTTTCCTTCATGTTTATATACTTGTTGTACTAGATTAGCATCGGCAATAAATACTGCTTCAACATTGCCCAATTTTTCACGATAAATTGGTCCTAATTGTTCATGACGTTTATCACAATATTGATGTACATATTCAGCACCACCGGCACGTATAAGATCATATAATGTACCAATCAATGGTAATCCGGCCGGTGTTGGTATCTGTTCAAATGATTGATATTGTTGTTGTCCATTTTTTAATTGATTATAATGATGATGATGATGATGATGATTATGATCAATATTATCATGATGATGAAATGGACACCGGATTTGATCGGATTGCGTCATCGTTGTTGTTGTTGTTGTTGTTGTTGTATCCATAGCTGCTGTTGCTTGTTGTCTATTGATTGTTGATTGTATCATAATTGTACGTTTATTATGTCGTTGAATATCGATAATTTTATTTTTTTTATTGACCAGATTATACCGGGTTTGTTGTTGTTTTGGAAAATGTGCAAATTTTCTCTGTGATTGTTGTTGAATCGTTTTTGTCCAACAATTTGATCGAATATTTGCCAATAATAATAATGATGATGACGATGATGATAATTGTTCATTTATGAATTTTTTTACAAATAAAATTGTTGATGATCGTTGTGAATGCATTTTTTATCGATTTTCTTTTTTTTCTGGAATGCTAATCACAAAATGATTATATTGTCATTTGAAAATCGAACAAACGAAAACAAAAACAAAAAAAAAAAAATTTTCTTGGTTCCAAAAATTGTCAGCAAAAAAAAAAAAATAAAACGAAAATCTGACAACTTATGTTTGTCAATGTTACTCTCTCTCGATGATGACGATGATGATGACGATGGTGATCGAATGAATGATTCAATCTAAATGGATGCAATCTAATAGAAACGGACTGGTTATATTTATATAGATATCCCGTATACATAGACAACAACCAAAAAAAAAAAAAAACACGACACGGATAGATGAAAAAGAAAAACATCGACAAAAACACTAAAGACACACACACACACACACACACATATTAACCATTGGAAAATCAACTTGGACCTCTATCGAAACAAACCAAACACCATACATACACAAACACAAACAGATGGATACACTTAACACTTGATGACGATGATGATGATGATGATGATGAAGACGAAAAAAAAAATTTTTTTTTTGTTGTTGTTGAAAAAGAGACGTGCAAAAAACGAAACGATTTTCTTCGTTTTATAAACGTCTGCTTCGGTTTTTTTTTCAATTTATTTATTTTTGTTTTGTTTTCTTTCTCTGTTCACACCTTATGTGTGTGTGTGTGTGTTGAATGTAGAAAATGAAAAAAAAAGAATTTTTTTTGAAATTTTAGAAAAAAAAATTATTGTTGTTGTCGTCGTCGTCGTTGTTGTTGTTGTTGTTGTTGTTGTTGTTGTTGTTGTTGTTGTTGTTGTTGTTGTTGTTGTTGTTGTTGTTGTTTTCTATTCGTTTTTTTTCCTATCCTAAAGACACACTTTATTTTATTTTATTTTTTTTTTTGTCATTTTAATTTGCAAATATGAATCATTCCAGCAATGATAATAATAATAATATTTGGACTGATGACGTAGTCAATTTTTTTTTTTGGATCCATATTTTTTTCACTAGGTGAAATTATTTTTATTTTTTTGGGTCCCTACCCATTTGTATAGGACTTTTTAATGTCTAGGACAAAGGGGAGTATAGTCTATCAAGGTGGAGTTTGTTTCAATGAATTTTGTTGTTGTTGTTGTTGTTGTTGTTCTGCTTATCGTAAAAGGAGGCACCTTTTGTATAAACATATCCAGGCTCAACAAATAATGATGATGATGATGATCATATGGTTACTATGGCCATAATAATAATAATCATATAATGATTGTGTGATGGTAGAGTTTTTTTAATTTTATTCAATCGATTTTGATCGATTCAAATATATCAAACAAACATTCAGTGTATTGATTCGATATATATTGAATTGATTCGAATAAAAAAAAAATGTAAAATTTCGGGCGCTGTCCGGCCATTATCATGAAAACAAAACAAAAAATCGATTGATCGATCAATCGATTCAATCGATCGAACCAATCCAGCCAGTCCGATTATTTAATGTACCAGCAATAATAATAATAATGGGACGGGATAATAATGAGACAGGTTATATGAAAACATAATATATATAGAAAACAACCGAGCCATTCATTTATTCAGTCAAAATTGAACACAGAAAAAAAAATTTTCCATTCCAGTATCAGCCAGTTTTGTTGTTGTAAAGAGTTTTTTTTCATTTTGGTCATGAATTGCAGCAAAAAAAAAAAAATCAAATCGATGATCGAATTTTTTTTCCAAAAATGAAAAATTGGTTATTGAGATCGTATACTTCACACACACACACACACACACACACACACACACAAAAGAATGTGAATTTGATTCAAGTTTGAATAAAATAAAATCAGGTTGTACATTACATTCCTTTCTATTTGAAGAATAATAATAATAAGGGGTGTTTAGGGGATGAAAAAAAAGAATGATGATGATGATGATGATGAAAATCGAAAGGGAATGTGTAGTATATAAATATATAAAAAAATGCAATGTTCACGAATTGACAAATCAGCTAAAAACAAGAAGAAAAAGATGAAGAAGAAAAAAAAAATTCTTTGCAAACATTATTTATACACATCCACACACACACACAGGGCAACAGTTCAAGGACAATTGAAATTTTGAAGGGCACCTTTACTTTGTGTGTGTGTGTGTGTATAAGTAATAGCTGATGGTGGTAAAGGTCAGCGAAGCAATCAAAAAAAAATCATTTTATATCATCATCATCATCATCATTATTATAATGATTGTGAAAATGATTTCTCAACATCATTAATAATTAAACGATTCTTAAAGTTAAATTCCATTTCGTCATTTGTGTGTTTGTGTGTCTGTGTGTGTGTGTGTGTGTGTGTGTAAACCAGAATTTTCTTGAATAAAAGAATAAATAAATTCTGAATGAATTTCAGTTGAAATCAATGAAAAATAAATAATTTTCAACGATCAAGGTTATGTGATTCATCAAAATTTATTCATTGCACTGGAAATTTTTGTCATTTACGTAATTTGTGTGCATCTGTGTCTGTGTCTGACTGTGTGTGGGACCAGATTGATGGCTGAAAAAAAAATTTAAAAGTACGCGCAACTTGAAATTCAACGTGTTTCAGATGAAGACCAAAAAAAAAAAAAAAATCTAGATGACGATAACAAAATCAGGTGCTAACCAGTTGAAAGAATTTCGCAATCAATTCAAAAGAGTTTAAATGAAAACGAAAAAAAAACAAGAACCAACCGGTGAAAATAATCACCAAAAATGAATCCGAATGAATAAAAAGTGTGGGAAAATTTAATTGATTGAAAAATCCGGGATCAAAAACAACAAAATTTTTCGATTTGAATGAAATGTATTTTATGGTACAAATGACAATTACAGAATAGAGAATTTTTACAGAGAAATTGTGGAATTTGTACTCGATTCTTGATGATTAGAAATGGAAATTTGAATTAAAATTTGATAAATAACCACAACAACAACAATAACAACAACTCAATCACAATGAAAAAAAAAAACAAGGTTAGCTGGTAATCCAAATCAATATTTTTTTTCACACATCTAATTATATCTTTCAAACAAACAGACTGGACATTTTTTTTGCCGGTTTCTGTTGTTGCCATTGAAAATTTGGCCTTGGTCTTGACATCGATGACCTAATAATCTCAATTTACGTCTAGTATATGCTCATTCATTACCACAATGAAAATCAGTTAGTAAGGAGAAACAAAAAATGAAATGAAATAAAATGCAAAGCAAACACACACACACACATATTATATGCCACAAGGTCATCTGATTCATGGCTAGGTCGAAACTAGAGTAGGAGGAACCAGAATAAGTAGGAAAACAAAATAATTGTAGAGTTGTTTTCCTGTTTTATTCATTTTTCAATTTTTTTTTTTTGCTGTTTTCTGCAATTGTCTGCTGCTGCTGTTGTTGTTTGTTATTCACACAATGATAAACAAGGACAAATGATTTTGTTTTTTTTTCTGATCATTATGTGATCGATTACCTGTATGAAGGTCAAAGGTTTTCTTTTCGACAATTTTTTTTTTGTTGTTGGAATTGTCACCCAAAAATAACCAAATGTTGATGACGACAGACAAATAAATGGACAAAGAATGATGGTGGTTTTTTATTTATATATATAAAAAAAGTAAAAGTAAAATAAAAAGTGAAAAATTTTATTTTGGAATTTATAAATCCAAATGTTACACACATATGTGTACTACAGGATTAATATGAAAAAAATTTCCACGTCAAAATGATCAATAACTATACAACCATCAAGCCATTGAACCCGAAAAAAAAACAATAAACCGTAAGCTGTGGATCTCAACTGTAAAAGGCAATGATTTTTTTTTTTTGAACAGATTTTTGATGAAAAAGCAAGAATATGAACCAATCAGGATCAAATAATATTGGATGAGGGGAAAAGAAAGAGAGAGAGAGAGAGGGTTTCTTTTATCCAACAGTTCAACAAATCCTAATCATTTGTGGATACCTGTTTCGTATATATATCTAAAAATGATGTTGATGGAACCATCCATAATATATACACACATTTGTGGATGGTCATTGGCCATAGAATAAATGAATGAATACATATAGAAAATGATGGTCAAATGATTATGTGAAAAAAAACTCGATCGGACTTGATTATCATTTACTCTTGTTTGGGTTGTTGTTGTTGTTGTTGTTGTTGATGATGATGATGATGATGATTGGTCAAAAAACTTTTGATCATTTTTTTTTTACTTTTTTTTTGCTTTTCGAATACTAATTTGAAAAGGAATATTTGATGATAAAAAAAAAGATTCCAAGAAGATGGATTGGCCCAACGGTCAATTGATGTGTGAAAAAAAACACAACAAAAAACGGATGACGATGACCTTCAAACTTGAAATCAATGACAAGAAAAAAAAGAGAGAGAGAGAGAGAAAGAGAGGGAAAAACATTATAACTGATGATGATGATACGTTATCTTACCAAACCTGTTGAGAATTAATTTTTTTTTCTATTTTCCTATTTACCGGATCTATTTCGGATTATTATAATTACCGATGTTTGGTTACTATTGCTGATGATGATGATGATTTTTTCATCGGTCATCATTTTATCAAAGTGAAAAAAAAGAAAGAGAAAGAGAAAAATCATTGGTCAACAAACTTTTTCTCATTCAATTAATTTCTTATCATGAAGGAGAAAAAAATAATTATTACGGTTCCGATATCATCATCATCATCATCATCATCATGATCATCATGTGACGTGACAAATGTTATGGATTCCATGAGTAATAACAAATGATATACGAACAAATCTACAATACCGTTATTTGATCGAATTTGAATTGAAATCAAATGGAAATGAATGAATGAAAAACAAAACAAAACAAAACACAAAATGGGAGAAAACAATGAAACCGAAATTTTTTATTTTTTAAATGTCTTTGCATGTGAACATTGTTGAATATTTTTTTTTTTTTTGTTGAAACCTGTTGCGTCTGGTTAGTTATGATGATTAAAGAAAAGAAAAATAAAGACATGGCAACAAGTCATGTTTTGAATAAGCAAAAGGAGAGAAAAAAAAACAAAATTTATTGTGACAATTGAACCTTGAACTTGAAATTTAAAAAAAAATTATTATTATTATTACCTGGTGTGATTATTGATTGGATATGATTGAATTTTCTCCATTTCAACATTTGTTTGCACCCATAGAAAATTTGTTTACAAATCATTGTTATTGTTGGTCCATGCTGAAAATGTAACAGGCAAACAAACACAGACCAAATTGCACCCGTTAGTTACACTGGTTTACAAACATTTCTGTCCACTGTATTTGTCAATTGTTTTCGGACAATAGAATCAAATGAATAATGGGTTTATTTGTGCAAACCAAAAAGAAGAATAGAGAAAAAAAATCCAAAGAGAGAAAAATAAAATGAAAAATTTCTGGACCAAAAAAAAAAAAAAAAAAAAAAATGGAAAGTTGAAAACACAAACTATTATGTCACTATTATTGAATACTGTCATCATGTCAAGGTCACTCATCATCATCATCATCAGGTGTTGTTGTTGTCCATTTTTTTTTTGTTTTGCACACCCTTTACTCTTCTTTTGAAATAATGGTCATTTCTAGACAAAAAAAAAAAAAAAATTAAATTTCATAGAAATAAAGTCAAAAAAACATTGAAATCTAGATCAGTAGTAGTCAATCTTCCTGGTATAATACAATATATTGGTCATCATATATATATATTACAAATATTCTGCTATATAGATTTTTTTTCCAGTGATTTCCCTGGTTCTTAAAATGTTTCAGTGGTAATTTTTTTCTCTTTATTTTAGAAGAAAAAAAAAAATTTAATTTCGAAATTTTTGAAATCAAATTTTTTATTCAGACTTTATTTTTTTGATATCGTTTACACTTTCACACACACACACACATGCCCACATATAGTTGTGAAAGTCAATCTCAGGATCTACCAATCGACTAACCAACCAACCAACCAACAAACCGACCGATCAACCAACCAACCAACCAACCAACCATTCCTCTTAGACAACAAAGCTAAACAGAAAAAAAACCAACCAACCAACCAACCAAAGCAGTTCAAGAACAAGTAGAAACACAAAAAAAAATCGACCAACAAACCAACTAAATCTAAAGAAAGAAACAAAAAAAAAATTTTTCACCAGTTTAAACCAGTGAATGGATAATGAAAAGTAACAAAAAAAAATATAAAATTTTTACATCATCATCATCATCATCATCATCATTATTATTATTATGACCATCAATGCCATCTTCATTATCATCATTATTCTCACAAACATTCAATGTCAGTCAACACACACACACCAATGAAATGAATCTAGTCCTTTTAAATATCAATCAATTCAATGTGGTTAATAATTTTTTCGTTCATTTAAATTTCACTTATTCAACTTGATTACGGAAATGGAACTAGTGATATCTACTACTACTACCAATGCTGATATCACTTCTACTACTATAGTAGTAGTACTACTACTACTACTACTTCTCCGGGAATGTCTATTTTTTTTTGTCCAAACATTTCTAAACATTGGAAAAAAAATACCTGATTATCCGGATCCATTAGAAAATAAATAATCGGATAAATGAATCGATTAAATGGCCATTTTTGATCAAATGAATCGTGTGTGTGTGTGTGTTGTAATTTTTGTTTCTATAAATTCATGATCACGATCATCATCGACCTGTTGCTTTTCACAATCAAAATCTGGAATTTTCTAAATTTTTTTCAATCATTATTATCGATGATATAATAATTTATTATTTATTCAAAAAAAAAAAAAAAAAAAATTTTAAAACGTTTTTGTTTCTCTTATTTTAGCCATCAGAAACAATCTGATCATCATCTAAGGGCCAAGACCTTGACATTAAAATTTATTACCATATGACAAGAATATTTCGAAGAAGAAGAAGAAGAAAAAGAAAAAGAAATGAAGCAGTTTGTTCTAGTGTATGGGATTTTTTTCCAATTCATTCATTCATCCATTTACCATCATCGTAATATGGTTGACTGATTTGTGGCCAAATAAAAAAAAACCACTTGTTGCACTTGGATGCAACACGTTGAACTAGCAACAATAGTACACACACACATACACACACACACATTATTAGTGAAGTTGTCCATGGAATCAGATTTAGACTAGATTTTTTTTTCATTCATTCATTGATTCAAAATAATTCATGGATACACAGAACGTACATCTATGGTAATTTGTCACTAGGTGTTAGTTATTTTTTTTTCTTTCTTTTTCTCATACTTTTTTTTTGCTCTATACAACAACAGAGAAATTTTTTTTTCAGACAGGAAAAACACAGAAACACAAAAAAATTCTTCACTAAATGTGACTACCACATGACAAGAAGATCGAGGCCAATGCAAGAAAAAAAAAGAATTTCAAATGGCAAACCACATCATCATCATCATCATCATCGTGGACATTTTCAATCACCATGATGATGATTGTTGTCAAGGGGACAGGTATGGTCTTGTGATATTCACATTCACAACATTTAAACTTACAAAACACACACACACACACACAAAGAGAGAGAGAAAAAAAATCCAACATAAAATACATTTAAAAGCTTTACATAATTTCTTTGTGATTGAAAGAAAGAAAGAAAGAACGAAAAAAAAACAAAAAAACCAAAAATTCCATAACCATTTGTTTTCAGATTTCATCATTTGTTTTTGTTTTGTTTTTTGTTTTGGTGACATATTTTGTACAATGATTATGATCAGGAAAAAAAAAATTGAATGAAAGAAATCTCTATCATCAACATCATCATAAATAATGTCAAAATGATCATTATGATGATGATGATGATCTTGATAATCAATTTTATCGTCAAATCACAAAAAATTTCATTATCATCATCATCATCATCATCATCATGTCCTTGGCAATGAAATTAATAACGGATTGAAAAACAGAAAAAAAATATATTTAAAAAAAACGAAAAAATCCCGGCAAAAAAAAAATTCACACTGCGATTGGAATTTGACAAACATATTTTTTTTTTTGCTTATCATTTTTGTTGTGAAATAACACATAAACACAGCAAAAAAAATAACCCAAAATGATGAAAAAACATATAATAAATTTTATTATGAATGAACACCGCAGGCAATCCGTTTAGTACCAGAAAAACATGATAACGGTATGATAACATTTTTTTTCAATAAATTTCTCTCTCTCTCTCTCTCTCTCTATATACTTAATAAATAACTATTTATAAATGCCAAGGTCAAGGTCAAAGACAAAACTTATTTGTTTTCTTTTTTTTTTTTTTGATTACCACATATATTACCACACAACACAGCACATTGTGGTTTATCAATAAATTCAATCCATTGATAAATGATGATGATGATGATGGTGATAAACAAGAAAAAAAAACAAACATGTTTTCCTTCATTTCCGCGTGACTTATTTCTCCTATAAATAAAGGGAAAAGAAGGGAGAACAAAAAAAAATTTTTCTTAAAGAAAATCCAAAAATGACGTTACAAATAAATATGAAAAACAAAAAAATTAAATTCAAATTTTGAAATGACGTTTATTTTCGCCATCTAGTGATGGTGATTTTATTTTATTTTTTATTCCGAAAAAAAAATCAAAAATTAATTTTTTAGGAAAATTTTTTGAATAAAAATCCAGAAATAATCAACAATATGATGGTGGAAATAATATTCAATGCAAGACCATTATAAACATTTGGATGTGTTATTGGCCATGAACGTAACATTACATTACGTAATGATTGTGATGGTATACCAATAGGACTGAAATCGACTAAATATTGAAAATTTTGTGGAACTAATTCACGTGGAAATATTGTACCACTGGTGAATACTTGTGAAAATGTTATGAATATTGAAAACATTGTTGCTGTTGATCCTTCTTTCACTACAGATGATATTAATAATCCTAATATGGACGGAAAATTCAAAATTAATAAAAATGAAAAAAAAGTGTACACAAACACAAACCAGTTGCAACTGAAGATAAAGCCTGTGCCATGACCATTGTGAATACAAGCCAAATTGGACCTTCATTAATCATTTCGAATAAAAATAATCCAACATATAACATTAATGTAACTTGAATGGCTGATGCAACAAAACTGGAAAAAAAATGTGATAATAAAACAAGATTATGGCTAACACCGGCCACTAATGAACGTTCAAATAATCCTTCACTACGTTCTTGTACTAAAAGTTGTGCTGATATTGTTAATTGTGAAAGATAAATGAATGCAATCAAATAACCGGGTAAAAGAAAATCAGATAATTTTGAATCTTTTGCATAGATTATATCATGTAAATCTATTGGTGCTTCAAATCTGGTTAGATTTTGTTCTTGATGTACCATTGTAAGAAAATTATATACAGTTTGTCGTAATGAATCAATAAAACCATTGGCAAATAAAAAATTTGAATTATCCATATGAATACGTATGATACTTGATAGATATGTTTCATTTGTCATTGAATCTGGATCATTAACACGTGTAATCATGGCATCGGTGAAATTTGAATCAAAAATCAATATGCCAACAATATGGCCATATTTCAATGCATTCATTGCTTGTTCTTCATTATCATAATATTTTGGTTTCAAATAATAGATATCGACTTTTTCAATAAAATCAAATAAACGAACAGAATAATATGGATCTGGTTCATTGTTACAAACACCAATGGGTATCTATAATGGTAAAAGAAAACAAAAAAATAGAATGATAAGCATGGTAAATTTCAATATACAAATAAAAAACAAATACCGCAACTTCATCCACATCGTACATAAGACCAAGAATGAGAGCCTGAAATGCCGGTATCAAGAATATTAATGTGGTGATGTTTAGTTGAAAAAATCTGGATAAATTTTTATGCACCAAAACAATCAGTATCCATAAATTGAGAATAATTTTCGACCAATTTGATGTTTGATACATGTTGGATGTTGATTCTTCCGGATTAATAGTATCGATCGTTTTATGATTACCATTTTTGACGATAATTTCATCAATTTTATCAGTTTCATTATTATTATCATCGTTATCGATAATTTTTGGTTTTGGATCATTATGACAAAGATAGAGAAAAACATCTTCTAATGTACGTTGTTCATAACGTTCTATCAATGCCATAGGATCATCTTCTTCAAGCATACGACCTTCACGCATAATACCAACAATATGTGCACGTACAGCTTCTTCAATATAATGTGTTACAACAATAATGACAATATTATCTTGTTGACAAAGTAGATGCAGATATTTCCAAATATAATCACCCAATGTTGGATCACTACCAACTGTTGGTTCATCCAATATCATTAATTTTGGTCGCTGTAAAAATGTCACTGAAAGTGATACGATTTTTTGTTGACCACCGGATAATTCTGAAATACGTTTATCATCATCGGGTAGGCCAAGAATTTTTTGCAGATTTTGTTTACGTACACGAAATTCTTTCCCCGTTAATCGATAAAGATTGGCAAAATATTGTAATGTTTGTCCAACGGTAAACGTACGACATAATGCCTGATCTTGTGGCATATAACCAACGATACGATTATTTTGTCCGGGCAAACCACCTAGTACATGGATTTCACCGGAATTGGCTTCAATACGGCCAAGTATAAGTCGAAGTAAAGTGGTTTTACCGGCACCACTTGGTCCAAGTAGACTATATATTTTACCATATGGTACCTGAAGATTTATATCTTCCAATATTGGACGTTGTTTTGCGTAGTAAAAATTCACATTCGATAATTGTACGGCTGTCATTGTTTTTTTTTTTTTTTTTTTCCTTCAGTAAAACAACAATCGTTGTCAAAATGATGAATGATTGAATATCAAATTACCTGTGTTGATGTGGAATTAATCATTATTTTCGACAGCCAATTTTTTTTCCTATAAGATGTGGTGCAAATTTTTTTTATATTCACACCATCAACAACAAACATACTGATGATGATGATGACGAATGAATCAAATAATAATAGAAAAATTTTTTCAAGGAAATTTTGATCTTAAAAACTGTTAATAATAATATATCAAAGACATACTTGAACATTTTTTATTTTTCAGTTTTGACATTGAATATGTTCATTCATTGGGTTGCGCGCCAAAATCACTATGGAAAATTCAAATTTAAATGACAAGAATCAAATTCGTGATACGTTATCTATGACCGGTTCTATGTTGGTTCTGTTTTGGTTTTTTTTTCTGGTTGCAGAAAATAATCAAAACAAAATGACAAATTCATGTGTATTATCATAAAAAAAGAAATGGGAAAAATTTTCATGATAAAATTAGAATGATTGATTAAAAATTTTTTCCCCCACCCAAATTCTAATCATCAAATTAATATTGAATCATGTCAGCAATTTTAAGTGATCATAATCTAGCCATTTTATCGTGGAAAAGGCTTCATTTAGCACGTGCCAAATTGAAAGCCAGTTCACGAACATCAGCATTATTATCTGGATTTGCCATGGTAAGTTGATTTGTTTTCAATGATATCTAATCTAATAATTTTTATTTGAATTATCATATTTAGGTTGCTATGGTTGAATTACAGATAACAAGCAAAGTGCCAATGGGTCTATTGATAACATTTACAGCATGTACAACATTATTAGTATCTGTACATATGCTTGCATTGATGATATCTACTTGTATATTACCAAATCTAGAAGCAGTTGGATCAGTTACATCATATGAATATGGATTAACAGCTGTATATATTATAACTATCAACTATCTGATATAAATTAATTCTATTCTATTTATATGCACACACACAGGTACAAGAATCACCACATGAAAGGCTAAGATTTTGTATAGAAATGGCATGGTCATTTAGTACGGTTTTCGGTATATTTTTATTTTTATTCGAATTGGCCATACTTTGTTGGGTTAAATTATGGGACATTCAATATGGAAAAAAAGCAGCATTGGTTGCAACAATAATGCTCATACCGATTGGTATTATATTTATTGGATTTGCTATACATTTTTATCAGGCATTAGTTGCACATAAATATGAACGTACTGAACGTAATTATCAAGAATTGGAATATCTTGTCAATCAATTAAGTAGTCTACGTAGTGGTGGTGGTGGTGGTGGCGGTGCTGTCAGTGTTAATGTTGAAAATATAATCGATGCAAATAATCATGCCAATTCAACTACGACAATACCTATTGAACAATCAATACCGATTGTCGAACAAAATATGCCAATGAAATCAACGATTCAAACATCAACAGTAATTGAAAGTATTTAAACGAAAAAAAAATCAAAGATGGAGAAATCAATTGAATTCGAACATTCAAACATTTGCGAAAAGCTTTGTCATGTTTTCATCATCATCAACGCCATGATTTTTTTTTTTTGTTATAAATTAGAAATTTTAATAAAAATAAAAATTATTCATTAACTGGAACGTGATTGATGTAATTTTATCGATGAAAATGTTTTTTTTCCCATTTTGGTTGTTATAAATGAATCTATATCCAACACAAACTGATTATCATTTTGAAAATTCATCATGATCATCAACACCAGATAAACATATCGTGTGTTTGAAACAAAACAAAAAAAAAAATTCGTGAACAAAAAACAACGAATATATATAAGTAATTGAATATAACGAAACAAACCACGATAACAATTTTTTTTTGATCAACAGGTTATCATGTTTATGATTTGACTAAAAATAATAACCACACACACACACACACACACACACACGCACACAAACACGAGCATGACTATAGTTCCGGTCACCTATAATCATCAAAATAATGATCAAAATTATGGCTATCGTTGATCAAAACAGCAGCATTCATTTCTAAACTTTTAAAGAAAAGTTTCTGTAAATTTTTTTCGAATTGAATCCATTCAATTTTTTTTTTCAATCCAATGTATGAATGGGCGCCATAAAAAAACTTTCATTTTTTATTCACTTCTCACTTTCGCAATTATATGACCATAATGAGCTTAATGATAGTAGACATTCCCAAAGACCCATAATTGTATGTAATCCGTACAATAAATCGATTTGTTGTTTTTTTTTCGGAAACAATTTCAATTTTCAATCATCACGAATCAGGTAGGGAAAACAATCATATGTGCCTGTCATTATCATGATCAAATTCATCAAAGAAAATCTTTATTATTTTTAACACGAATAAAATTGAAAAAATTTTTTGAAAAACAAAAATTTCAAATGTCCATAAAATCATTCGAATCAATCCAATCCACCGAAAATCATTTCATTTCATTTCCAGGATCAATGATGAAATATCGACAATTGATAGGAAAAAAAAACCTGAATACATTTGACCCAGCGATCGATAATCGTTGAAAAAAAATACGAAAATAAATCAATCATTCATCATCATCGATTGATTTTTCATTGAAGATTCTTCTGATCAATCTGGACTGTAATTTTTTTTAATGAATACAATCATTCAAACATTCAACATCTATTCACATTCATCAATCTAAATCTCATCATCGCATCAAATCTTGTCATGTCATATCTCATCGACATAATCATCATCATCATCATCGCCATCATCATTTTTTTCCGGTCAATTCATTTTTTTCTGTTTCTGTTTCTGTTTTTTTTTTGCCATGGATATATACCATAAACTGACAACAAAAATAAAACAAAACAAAACAAAGATGTTTCGATGTAACAAAAAAAAAACTTGCCAAACAACTCTCTCACGCGCAATGTCTCTTTTTTTGTTATTTGAATTTCATATATTCATCATAAATGGCGCCATTGCATGCAATTTGTTTTTTTTTGTGTGAAAAAATATTTTTATTCACCTGTAATTAGTAGTAGTAGTAGTAGTAGTAGTGAAAGCAGTAGTAGTGGTAGTAGTAAAGCAACAGGTAAAATAAAAGCCGTACATTTTAAATCATTCAATTTAGTGGGTGGTTTCAATCTCTTTTTTCGGAAAAAGGAACAAAAAAAACTATTTGCTTCAATTGTTCATTCAATTCATTCAAATCATTCATTCATTCATTGAAAAAAAATTTCAAAAAATTTTTATTTTCTCCTGTTGTTATTGAATCTTGTTGCATGAATGCAAAATGATTTTTGATCTGAATTTCATCTTCACAATCATATTCAGATTCAGCAATGATAAATAATCATTAAATCCATAATATGTGTGTGTTGCAATGATCGTTTGATGTGATATTGTTGTTGATGATGAGCTTAATCATGTTGCCATGAATCAAAAACAGGTGAGCCATTTCTTTCTCTTTTTTTTTCTCTCTCTAGTTCTTCATTCACTTGCATATATTTGAAGCAAAGCTGAAAAAAATATATCCAAAAAGAAAGGTTTCCAACGTCATTGATGATGATGATGATGATGATGATATGTTTTTGATGTTGTTGTTGTTGTTGTTGGCTCCAACAAACGAACGAAATATTCATGGCTACACATGCTGTTTCATGTTTTAGTTTAGTTTTGTTGTTGTTGTTGTTGTTGTCTGAATCCTATACACACATTTGTGTGTAGGTTTTAGATTTTTTTCTAACATACCAAACTACCACTGTCTTTAATCAAGTGCTGTGTGTGTCCAAAATCACAAAAAAAAAATTTTTTTCTGGTTGTTGATAATTTTCATAATCAATTCCTGTAGTATTTGTTTGACCGTTTTTTTTTTTTTTATCATATTAATCGTCAATGTGAATCCAACTGTAAAAAACACTATGAAAAAGTTTTTTGTCATTTCAAAGTGATTGATTTTAGATTGACTGGAGAAAAGTTTTTTTTTTGTTCTTCCATCTATGATGGTCATCATGTACATTGCAAACCATTCAAAGTGCCAACCAAAAAAAATTTGCTTTCAAATTTTCAAAATTTTGTGATTTCAAAGTGAGTGTGCAGTTTGTTTCAACCCGGTAATATTATGGTGGTGCCAGATTCATAAATTCTTTTTCCATAAATTTAATTTACACACACACACACACACACATTCATTTCATCATAAAATGTCCATATTTAGATCTTTTTTTCATTTTTTTTTTCGTTTCGTTGATTGAAAAAATGATTTTGTTTGGGCGAGTTCGACAATAATTTTCCATGAAAATGAATATCATCAAGCCACAATAATAATATCATCATCACCATTTACATCATTCAAAAGGTTTCTTCATCATCATCATTGACAAATTCGGCTTATTCAATTGATTTTGACGCCATTTTTTCATGTGCAAATTTGTGTGTGCGTGTGTGTTTTTTTTTAGATTTTCTTCTTGAAGCTTTAAAGTTTTTTTTTTCGTCCTCCCACATTTTCATCTTCATTGTCATCATCATTCCAATACGGGTAAATATTGTCAAATTTTTTATCATTTTTTTCTCCATAAATATCGATCGATAGAATTCATCATCATCATCAAAAAAAAAAAAAAAAAATTGGTGAATTTTTCAACACAAACAGGTGTCAATGGCATCGGCATAAAAATCATACACACACACACCAATAGAAATTTCTTGTTGTTACGAAAAAAAAACAACATCAACAATAGGTATGATAAAGAAGAAGAAAAAAAATAATCGGACAATGAACACACACACACACACACACACACATGCATGGGTAAACAAATGTGGATTATATCCGGTGGCAATTCATTGTCCGAATAATATAGACAAACACAATGTGGTAGGCAAAGTAAATTTATACTTTAAAAAAAAAGAAAACAAGACAGAAAAACAACATTTATAACCATTATACCATAATTATATATTCAGAGACAAAATCCAATTGGAACAACAACAACAACAACAACAACAACTACAATGATAAAACCGGACATTATCAATGAAGAAAAAGACCATCACCACCACCAAAAGAAAAAAAAAGACAATGATCATTATAATTGTATGTGTGTGTGTGTGTACAGAAGAGACAAATTTAAATTTGAAAAAAAAAAATTTTTTTACTTTTCATTTTAAACTTGTGTGTGTGTATATTTTTTATGTGTTCAATTTATATAGAATAAATAAACACCGTGAATGAAATGAAATTTTCCATTTCATAATATATTCGGTAAAGTTAAGAACAAAAAAAAAATTTAGTCGTTACGTTTGGTTTCACAATAAATTTTTGTTTTCCGTTTGTTTTGCTGTTTTTGTTTGTTTGTTTGAAGAAAGAAATTCGGCCAGAAAACAAAAATCTTGTTATCGTTTCTCATTCATTCATTTGTTCGATGATTTACACGATTTTTTTTCTTCATTTCTTGACATACAAACACAAATAGACACAGATGAATGATTTAGTTTTTTCAGCACTTTTCAGCTCTATTTTTTTTGTTTTCTTCTTGTAAACTTTACGATGTAAATCTTGTTTTTTTCACAAGTTAATCAATCGATTAATAATGTAATATAATCAGATTATCGATCAATCAGAATTATATTGATAGATGAAGATATACTCTAAATATATTCAGAGTAAGTTTCACAACAATTTTGTTTGTGTGTGTGTGTGTGAAAAAAATTATTATTGTCTCACTTGACTTGTTTGGATAAACGTTGTTGTCGTCGTTGGTCTTGTTGTCACAATTTCTACCAAAAAAAAAAAAAAATTAGTTATCAATTGCAAAAAGGTAATAATAATGATTGTTTGTTACACATGTGAACACACACACACACACACAGTGTGTGTCATTGACAGGTCACACAAGGTTTTCTTTCTTCTGTTAAGTTTTCTGGTCAAGCGAATCAAATATTTTTCAATTTAAATTCTGGAATTTAAAATGTTGAAAAAATTTATGCAAATTCAATTTGAATGATAACACAACACGTGTGTGTTTGTTCGCGTGTTTGTATCCACATCATATCATCACCATTATCGTTTTTTTATTTGGATATGACATGATAACAAGGTGACATTTTATGGTTTATAATGTCACATCATCATCATCATTATTATTATAAATGTTGTTAAAAGTCACGAATAATTGAATGAAATGAAATGAAAAAGAAAAACAAAAAAATTCTCACCATTGTTATCATTATGTATTAATAATAATGATGATGATGATGATAACGATGGTCTTGCTGCTGTTGTTGATACTGATGAAGATGGTGACAAACCTTAATCTTGAATGAAAATGAAATGTGATAATAATAATAAGAATGATGATGATGATGAGGAAGAAGAAGTGAAAAAAAATGTCGCAACATTATGATGGCCATAGGCAATGTCATCGTCATCATCGAATGATTGACATTTTTTTTCCTTATCTAAAATGTCGTGATGCTTTTACATATATGTCAGCTGACAATTCCGAATCTAGAGCTGAGAATTTTTTTTTTTTGTCCAAATC